CTACCTACTAAGTAAAAGAATCCTGTCTGCACTTTCACTTTTATATGCCCTTTAATACCTTGTTTTCCAGCGAGGAAGCAATAAGCTGAATGCAATCTGTTTCAGATGATCAGGAGTTTGGTCAAAAAACATCACAATTCTACAAATATACATACCCATGTACGCACACATCTTAACTTTTTAATCCTTTGTTATCTCTACTGTGGAAATGAGCATTTAAGGAAAAATATGTGTTGCAAATCCCAAGGGGAGATTTCAAAATATTGTAGGCACAGGTGCTCTTGTGGGAATCAAGCTTGCTCCTATGGGAAGATAAAAATTAATGAGTTTTTGGTTCTTACTACCTATACAGTGGTATGTAAATAAGTGAATAGTTCCATATGTGTGTATTTGTGTGTTGTGTGAGAGCATGCATAAATAGCAAGGAATGAAAATGAAAATAAATGCAAAATTTTAGATGAAAAATAATGACTTTAATATTTATTGCAGAATATTGTTTCTTTCTGTGGAAGACATTATGTGAGACAAATTGAAAGCACTTGAGTTACAGAATGTTTCAATTATTCACACATCCATCTATTTTCTTTTTATTTGTTTATTTTTTCATCTCTCTAAATAACATCACTGAGGATTTAGTACTCCCAGAATCTTCACGTATAAGAAGAGGAAAACTGTGAACAAATTGTTAAATATATATTATGAACTTTTTCAGCTGTAGTAATGCTGAATAATCCTTGTTAGAATGGGTTAATTGCATGTCAAATGAAAATCAATCAAATAAAAAAGCAATGAGTGTGATACTAATGTTTTGGCACAGGCCTGCTAAATTTATTTATACTATATCTAAGATACACTTTATTTAATCATGTATCAGTATTCTAATTTGAAAACTTAAAGCATACTTTTTATGATCTGTTTCTAATATTTATTATCTCTTCTCCAAAATGTGTAGATGGAATCAAAACTGAAGTTGTGCAAACATAATAATCAATTAGTATGCATCCAAAAACCCTCTCTGCCTTTTTTTAATGCTTAAAGAATAAATAAAAATTTCTGCTTCTACTCCTTCTTTTGTATGTCTTTAGTACCTTGGTTTCTGGTTCAGCAGAGAGCTGAATGCAATCTGGTTCAGGTGTTTAGGATATTAGTCAAAAGATACCACGATTCTGCAATATATGTACATGCACAATCCTCAATTCCTTAATCCTTTGTTATTCATACTATTGAATGTGCAATTTAAAGAAAAATGTGTGCAATTTATCCCAAGAGCATATGCACAACATTAAAGATACACAGGCTATTCATGGGAATTAAACTAACTCCTATCTGAGGAGGAAAATGGAAAGCTTACATTCTTATCATCTATAAGATAAGACATAAACAAGAGAATAATGTCATATACATGCATCTATATGCATCTGTTTGCTTTGTGTGAAGAAGTATATATAGGGGCTATAGAATGAACACTGTAGTGTTTAATGAAAATTACTAATTTTGACATTTACAGAATTATATAGAATATTTAGATGCCCCAAATTTGAGATTAATAATGATGATGATATAACGGCAATAACTAATAATAAAACATAGCAACTGCTTCTAGATTTATACTCTTTAGTTGGATGATAAAATCAATGCTTGCATATTTTTATTAATTGGAAAAATAAAACAAGTTTGGAAAGAGATAATTTCAACACAAATTTCAGAAATTACATTTACCAGATACATGTTTTTTCTTTTTTTATTTAAGGATAATTTCTTTACAATGCTGTGATTGTCTCTGGCATACACCAATGTGAATTAGTTATTATATATATAGCATATATAATATGATATTTTAATATATTAATATAATTTATATTATATTATTTATATATTCATTATTCTTTTATATATTATATATTTTAATATTCTTTATATATATTCATTATCATATATATATATACATATATATACACACACACTTCCTCTCAAGCTTCCCTGCCCTCTATCCATTTCACCCCTGTTGGTTGTCACAGAGGGCCGGCAGGCTGGGCTCCTTGTGTTATATAGCAGTTTCCAGCTAGTTATCTATTTCACACATGATAAGGTACATATACCAAAATTTTTAATGAACATTTGTTATATGTGTTTTTGAAAAGAAGTTTTGACAATGTCATATTAAAACAAAAATTCTTCAAGGTTAAACGGACATTCACAGCAGGGCTATTTCAGCAAAATTATGACTAAATGAAAGTACATCATACATACTTACACAATTTAGTTAATGATTTCCATTCTTAGATTTATACATTATTTTGCAGAAAAATGATACAAGTTTATATATAGAAGAAAACTTTTAACACAGTGTTTTTTAACTTAATCATTTTTTATTGAGGTGAAATTCACATACCATTAAATTAACTATTTTACTCTTTGAAAAGTAAATTGAGGGCTGTGCAAATATCAGCACTGTATAGTTCCAAAACATTGTTACCTCAAAAGGAAACTCCACAAAAGTTAATCAGTCACTCATTCCCCCAGTTTTCTAGCTCTTGTCAATAAATAATTTGCCTTCTGATTCAATGAGCTTACCTATTCTGAATATCTCATATAAAAGAAATTATAGAATACTTAACCATTTATATTAGGTTTTTTCACTTAAGATAATGCTTTCAAGTTTCATCTCCATAACAGCATACAATTTTAATTTATTTTTATTGAGGTATATTTGATTTATAAAGTTTTATTGATTTCTGCTATACAGAAAAGGAATTCAGTTATACATATACATACATTTCAAAATATTCATTCCCATTAGTATTTATCACAGGATACTGCATATAATTGTCTGTGCTATACAGTAAGCCCTTGCTGCTTATTCATTCCATATATAATAGTTTACATTTGCTAAACCCAGCTAAACACAACCTCCACTCCATCTTTCCCCCCATTTGTTCTCTCCAATAAACCATAAACTTGTATTCTATATCTATGAATCTATTTCTCTTTTGTAAATAAGCTCATTTTAACCACTTTTTTAGATTCCACATGTAAGTGATATTTGTATGATTTGTCTTTCTCTGTCTGACTTACTTCATTCAGTATGACAATCTCTGGGTCCGCCTTTGTCACTGTAAGTGATATTTTGTTCTTTTTATGGCTGAATGGTACTCCATTGTATATATGTACCACATTTCCTTTATCCGTATATCTGTTGATGGACATTTAGATTGGTTCTATTTCAGATATTTCCCAGAAGTATGTAAAATAGTCTTGGCTATTGTGAATAGTGCTGCTAAGAACATATTGGTGCCTGTATCTTCTTGGATGAGAGTTTTGTGTGGCTATATGACCAGACATTGGATTGCTGGATAATATGGCAATTTTATTTTTAGTTTTCTGAGGAGCATCCATACTGTTTCTCATGGTGGCTGTACCAGTTTATATTCCCACCAACAACGCAGGGGGGTTCTCTTTTTCCACATCCTTTGCAGCATTAACATAACAGTATATACTAGTGCGTCATTTTATATGAGTGATTAATAACTCCTTGTATACATATATATATAGTTTTGTTTTAACATTCAATAGATGAAGGTTTCTTTCTAGCTTTTTTCTAGTAGGGCTGCTGTGAATGTGAATGTACAAGTTCTTTTTTCATACAAGCTTTCCAATATTTTGGATAGACACTTAAGTGTTGAATTCTTGAGTTACACAGCAAATGTGTCTTTCTAATTGCCAGAACTGTTTTCCACAGCTCCTGCTGATTTTATATTTCTAAAGCAATGTACTAGGACCTCAGTATATTAAAATCACCAACACTTGCTAATTTAATTTTACTAACAAAAAAAAAACTAAAAAACCCTTTTAGGGGAAATAGTGGTCTCTTTTGTGGTTTTGATTTAAATTTGTTTAACGAAAAATAATGTTGAGCATCTTTTCATATGCTTATAGGCCTTGTACATCTTCTTCAGAGAAATACCTATTCAAGTTATTTATCCATTTAAAAAGATATAAAATGCATTAGGATGCAAATGCACAAATGGTTGAAGTAAATCCTGTGCTTTCAGCAGCTATATAAAATGTACCTGGATTCAATTATCTAATTAAAAAGAAAGGATTGTGAGATATTTGGTTTAATCATGTCTATTCATCTTTGTCTGAAAAAGTAATGCATATTCCACTTGCACATCTCTTGAATTTCTTGAGATAATGAGAATCAATGTGTTATTCTGCTTTAAATGAAGGTCTTTATTGACAACTAAGATTACAAATATTAGCTTCACTACTTTTTTTTTGAAGTTTCATTTTTCACCACAAATTCCTTATGCTAACTGAAAAACTGCCAGTGTCAGTGTCCTTATCTCTTTTGCCATTTCAAAATCTCAGAGAATACGATGAATATATATTTGGAAAAATGAGCACCTTCTCCATATTAATTGCTCTTGTTGTCTAGCTTAAGAAACTTATATAAGCCCTGACTGACCTCCTTGTTCTTGAGTGCATATATTGAGCACTTTTCACATGCTTGTTAGCAATTGTACATCTTCTTGAGAGAAATGTCCGTTCAAGTCCTTGATCTTTTAAAAAAGAGAATGACACATCATAAATCCAATAGACAAATAGTAGGAGGAAGTGCTACCCTATCAGTAATTATATCAAATGTACATGGTTTAAAGGCTCTAATTAAAAAGAATAGATTGGCAGATATCTGATGTAACTACATTGTCTGGAAGTTTTAGCCGAGGCAACTAGGTAAGAAAATAAAATATTTATTCTGCTTCTCTTTCCTTTGGATTTTTGAATCATCATCATTTTGGATAACAAGGAAATTTCTTGAAAAACATGGTTCCAAATATTAGTTTTACTGCTTTTTTGGAAGTATCATTACTTGCAATAGACTACTTAAATCAACCAAAAAATGTCAGTGTTTCTTAGTTCTTCTTCCATCTACAATCCTAGCAGGAAATAATGGATATATACATGGGGATATTACAAAGGTGAGCATCCTCTCCAAGTTAGCTGCCTTGGCAGTTCAGCTTAAGGAACTTATATAAGCCATGTCTCAGGTCCTTGTTCTTGAGTGCATAGACCATGGGGTTGAGGGCAGGAGGAATGATATTTTCAAGTACGTTGAGTAGAACAGGGATGAGGGGAAGTGTCTTTGTTGCACCATGGGTGACAGAAAAGACAATAAGAATTGTATAGAAAAGAAGGATTAGGATAAGGTAGGAAGTACAAGTACTTAAGGCCTTGGATGCAGCTTCTGCTGAGCTCAGCTTCAGCAGAGAGTGAAGAATTAGAACATAGGATATAATAATCAAACCCAGGTCACTTCCCATGAGTGTCCAGGCCAGAAGTAACTGATAGACACTGTTGATTCTCTTGTCATCACAGGATAGGCTAGTGACTCCAAGAGTAGAAGACAGACAGGGCTTGATTTGGTTTTTTGAGTAGTAGTGTCTCTGAGCAGCCAACACAAGCACAGGGATAGAAGACAGACTGTTTCTGAGTGTCCTGAATACAGTGGCTTTGACCACAAAAGATTTGTGGATTATTGATGGATATCGTAGTGGTTGACAGATGGCTACATATCTATCTATAGCCATGCAGACAAAGATGCCTGATTCCATAAACATAAATGTATATTTGGCATACATTTGCAGAAAGCACTCAGGGAGACGGATAGACTTAGCATTGAACCACAAGATAGCCAAAATCTTGGTCATGATATTGGTAGCCATGCCCATATCTACCATGGCCAGGATGCCCAGGAAATGGTACATAGGCTGGTGCAGTGTTGCCTCCTTGTTGATGATGATCAGGATAAGGATGTTGGCGCTGAGAGCTAAGAGGTAGAGCAGAGTCAGGGGCAGGGAGTGCCAGTGCTGCCAGCTGTGAATGCCTGGGAATCCCAACAGAATAAACTCAGAGACCTGGAATTTTGAGCTGTTGGAATCTCTGAGGTCTTGGAACATCTTCACTAAGAGGAAAAATATGCAAGGCTACTATTCTTAATAATTTCTCTGACAGTGTTTGAAAAGGAGTTACTCAGGTTCAGATATTCTTGGTGATAGTGGTGGTACAAAGTCATGGTCATTTTTATTCTCATCCCAGCACTAACATGTATTGTATATTTCTAGTGAAACAGGAACTTTTGTAACATTAAGTGTTAGTTTAGTTAATCAAAACACAAAGCATACCATAAGGCAGTTCATACTGTTTTGTTCTTCTCAAGACTGAGGAAAAAAACATTAGTGAAAATTAGAACCTTGGCCACTATCTTCAGCCTGGAAATTATGGAATTTGGCCAAAATGAAAGCCCTCTAATTTCACAGCCTGGCATCTTAAAGTTGGTTTTACTAAAGTGTTGGATTATATATAATATATATAATATATAGTATGAGTGTAAAGATTTTTGAGTATGGAGATATTTAGGTAACATTAAATTATATGATATTGATAATAACTTTTTTTCTAAGTCATGAGATTTTATGAAATAATCATGAGTATTATTCACTTTAATTAAAATATATAAAGTAATTTATTATACACTTGTTTTAGTGAGTAAACTGATATCAAAATTGCTAATGATCTATATGAAATCATGTAACAAAAGGAGAGAAAAATAATTGAGATATCTCAGCATAATGTAAAACCAATTGTTTCTGGTTTTCAATAATTTTCCTCTACTTGACATAGTTTTGATTTTGGGAGCACTCCAGATAGTCATACTATAAAAAGTAAAACAGACAATTAAAACTTAGCTTCAGAAAAATTGTCTGAAATGAATTACTCAATTAAATTACTGTGTAACTATCAAAAATTGTTAAATTTAGTCATTTGTTCATTTTAATCTAAAAACTGAGATTTGCATAATCTGTTTCTCCTAAATGTTTGCTATTTATTTGTTTCCTTTCAATAGTTTAAATATTTAGCATGTATTATCAGATATGGAGAAGGAAATGGCAACCCACTCCAGTACTCTTGCCTGGAAAATCCCATGGATAGAGGAGCCTGGTAGGCTGCAGTCCATGGGGTCGCAGAGAGTTGGACACGACTGAGTGACTTCACTTCACTTATCAGGATATATAATTTTGAAAAACTCTGTGGTTGGTAATTGTAGTATCTACAGAAAAACAGTATGGATACACACAGCTGGTGAATATATTCATCTCAAAGGAAGTGAAGATATTCAATTATACTTACAAGAAAATAAAAAATGGTAGACTAAAGAAGATATCTATTTATGCAAATATACTTATTCTGCTTCATATATGTTATTTTAATAACCTCTAAATTTCATATTTTATTTTATAGTTTTCATTGTTTTTATTATTAACATTGGAACTATTTATCAAATGTCAGACATTCTTTGACTATTCAGTTCAGTTCAGTTCAGTCGCTCAGTCGTGTCCGACTCTTTGTGACCCCATGAAGTGCAGCACTCAAGGCCTCCCTGTCCATCACCAACTCCCAGAGTTTGCCCAAACCCATGTCCATTGAGGCAGTGATGCCATCCAACCATCTCATACTCTGTAGTCCCCTTCTCCTCCTGCCCTCAATCTTTCCCAGAATCAGGGTCTTTTCAAATGAGTCAGTTCTTCACATCAGGCGGCAAAAGTATTGGAGTTTTAGCTTCAACATCAGTCCCTCCAATGAACACCCAGGACTGATCTCCTTTAGGATGGACTGGTTGGATCTCCTTGCAGTCCAAGGGGCTCTCAAGAGTCTTCTCCAACACCACAGTTCAAAAGCATCAATTATTTGGCGCTCATTTTTCTTTCTAGCTCAACTCTCACATCCATACACGACCACTGGAAAAACCAGAGCCTTGACTGGACGGACCTTTGTTGGCAAAGTAATGTCTCTGCTTTTTAATGTGCTGTCTAGGGTGGTCATAACTTTCCTTCCAATGTGTAAGCATCTTTTAATTTCATGACTGCAATCACCATCTGCAGTGACTTTGGAGCCCCCAAAAATAAAGTCAGCCAGTGTTTTCACTGTTTCCCCATCTATTTGCTATGAAGTGATGGGACTGGATGCCATGATCTTAGTTTTTTGAATGTTGAGCTTTAGGCCAACTTTTTCACTCTCCTCTTCACTTTCATCTTTGACTATTAATTCACACTTAATAAAGAGTCTTTGGAAAACTGATTTGAAACTGCAGATGATGAGTGGATATCATTACTTGGTAAGATCTACTTTGTGTGCTCCTGTAGGGTCCTCTTTGCTTCACTGTTGACCTTCCTAGTTCATAGGTCCCCCTTCTCCACCCAGAGACTTGCACATTTTTGAGAAAAGAGCAATACAGATAGAGGTAGAAATGAAACTAAGTAAAAGTTTGGAAGAGATCCAAAGAATTCTCAAAGAGGAAAAGACAAATAATGTTGCATCTAATGCATGGTTAGAATTCTGCTAATCAGTGTCTTCCTTTCTTTCTTCTGTAGTTGTTTGCTTTCCTACTCACTTTCACCAATATTTTTAGCTTTGTAATTTTGCAATGTTCTATTCTGTTTTGTGCCCAACCACAACCAAATCCAACTTCAAGCATCACATTCTTTACACTCAGCTGTGGACTTTCCTGGTGGCTGTTTTAGGGAAACCACCTGCCAATGCAGGAGACACGGGTTCAGTCACTGATTAGGAAAGATCCCACATGCTGCGGAGCAGCTAAGCCTCTCTGCCACAGCTTTCGAGCCTGTGTACTAAAGCCCATGCTCTAAGAAAAACAAGAGGAGCCACAGCAATGAGAAACCTGAGCACTGCGTCTAGAGAGCAGCCCTGCTCATTGCAACTAGAGAAAAAACCTTGCAGCAAAGAAGACCCAGCAGACCCAAAAATAAATAAAAATAATAAAAAAAGAATACTCAGCTCTCTGTCAGACAGAACAGCGAGCCATCCTTTGAATTTTCTTAATATAATTGCAAAAGATGCAGGCATTGTAGGTATGGTGTATGTCTGGCAGTAGATGAAATATATTTCTCATTTAACATCATAATAATATACAAAGTATCAATAACATGAATTCACCAGATTTTAGTCAAAATCTGAGTGATTAGAATTATGTATTTATGTTAATATTTGCATTGTATGACAAGACAATGTGCACATATTTGATATTAATAAATACTTTTGAGTGAATGAAGAGGTTAATGAATAAATGATTCAGACTTTGTAAGACTTAGAATTATTAACTGTATTTTAAACACTATTTTTGGAAGGTATAAGAGGAAACACCAGAAGAAAGAACTATACTTTCTATTTCTTAATTCAACAGAAAACTTAAATTCCTAAAAGAAAAAAAATTCCCCACTGCAAAATAGATTAAAAAAAAAAAAACTCAAAAGAGCATGGAACAAAATAAGTCAACAGTCAAAACAAGTATGTTAGATTTGGAAATTAAGTTCAGTCAGTTAGACAATGCTACACGTTGACCATATTTTACATTGATTATATGCAAGTATTTATGCAATAAAATGTATTTGTATATGTATGAACCTCCATGATTAGCCCCAGTGACTTAGTGGTAAAGGGCCCGCTGGCTAATGCAGGAGATGTGCGTTCCATCCCTGGGTCAGGAAAAACCCTGGAAAAGGAAATGGCAACTACTTCAGTATTCTCGCCTGGAAGGCTAGGTCTATGGGGTCCCAAGAAGTTGGACATGACTTATGCGATAAAATATATATGTATAAATATGAATATCCAAACCTAGCAATGGTATTTTTCACAAAACTAGAACAAATAATTTCACAATTTGTATGGAAATACAAAAAAACCTCGAATAGCCAAAGCAATATTGAGAAAGAAGAATGGAACTGGAGGAATCAACCTGCCTGACTTCAGGCTCTACTACAAAGCCACAGTCATCAAGACAGTATGGTACTGGCACAATGACAGAAATATAGATCAATGGAACAGAATAGAAAGCCCAGAGATAAATCCACGAACCTATGGTCACCTTATCTTCGACAAAGGAGGCAAGGATATACAATGGAAAAAAGACAACCTCTTTAACAAGTGGTGCTGGGAAAACTGGTCAACC